TTTACACAAGATGAGGGACTGCCAATTGGCTTCCCACAAGGAACCTCGTGTCTGGTTGAGATACGTTGACGACATCTTCATAATATGGAACCATGGGAATACTGAACTAGACGCCTTCCTGAAATACATCGACAACATAAGTCCTTCCATCACTTTCACAATGGAAAAGGAAGTCCACAACGAATGGCCATTCTTAGACTTACTGGTGAAGAGGACCGACATTAAATGGAAGACGTCTGTATACCGAAAACCCACTCAAACGGGTCAGTATCTGAACCAGGAATCCAACCACCATCAATCGACTAAAAGAAGAATTATCAAGAACCTATTAGACCGCGCTTTCGGGCTCTGTAACACAAAAGAAGGTCTCGAGAAGGAACTAGACATCAAAAGTGATCTTCAATGAATTGGCTACTCCAAAGTGATGGTGGAACAGACTTTTGCTTAGAAACAGCAGGAGCCTCGCAAGGAAGAGAAGCCGTCACAACCAGTGCTTGCACTTCCCTACATCAGAGGATTATCGGAAAGGATAAGAAGAATTGGCCTCAAGGTCAACATCAGAACCTGCTTTAGATCCGGAAACACTATCCGTAGCAGCCTCACGACAACCAGACCATTAAATGCGGAATGCAATTCCAAGAATTGCATTTATCGGATACTCTGTTAGTGCGGAAAGTCCTATATCGGTGAAACTGAGAGGCCATTGAATGTTTGCATTGCCGAGCACAAGAAACACACACACCGAGGGAAACAAGCAAATCAGGAATAGCAGAACATAACATCGAGTGGTCTCAAGCTGAGATCATTTACAGGGAGGAACATTGGTTTAGGAGGAAATTCAAAGAAGTCGCATGAATGTTATCCAACAACGTATTTAGCCAAACTAGCGTAGAGATACGCAACATATGGAAACTACTCAAGCGAAAAATGGCCAACTCCTGCCAAACAGTCATCTCCCACTAAGCCGGCGAAGTAGAAAAAGGAAAGCGGAGATAAGTGAAAGTACTCGAATGACCCATAAATATCTCGGAGGAATTCATATCTCGGAGGAATTCGTCCAGTCATCACCCGAAGACGATTGTGAATACTAACAATCGAAACATCGTGAAGCAACTTCCCTTGAAATCTCTCGACTCTTTATTTTTATTTTTTGTTCAATTGTTCTATTTTTACTTGTATTTTATTTCACTATCATTTCATTTCAGGTTTTTTTGCTTGATATAATTGTTATTTTCAGCTACTCATATTCATTTCTTTTTTTTATTAGTTCTTTCTGGGATTTCAAATAATTTTATATAATATCAGACAATGGAAGTCCGAATCAATGAAATTCATAATGTTCAGATTGTTCATGAGAGGCAAACAATTTGAAAATGATTTTGTATGTTCGGCGATTTTCTGCTATCGAAAAATGACGGATGAAAGAATTTGTTCTTGCCACATGGTCGTACGGTCAATAAGGAGTATTATCTTGAAGTTATATGCCACTTGCGAGAAGCAATACGAAGAAAGCGTCCGGTATTGTGGAAAAACAATTCGTAGCTTTTGCACCACGATACTGCATCTGATTACTCGTCATTGCTTGTTCGTATTTTTTGGCCAGAAACAACACAGTAATCATGCCTCAGCCACCGTTTTCATCAGATTTGTCCCAAGCAACTTTTTTCATTGAGAAGATGAAAATTGAATCGCTGAGAGAGTTCAAGGACAAAACAAAAAGAGCATACTGGAAGTGCTTCGAAGATTGGAAAAAGTGCTGGCACAAGTATAATATATCTGAGGGAGACTAATTTGAAGTAGAAAAATTGATATTGATTAATGAAGAAAATGAAAATTCACCTTATTTTTTGAACTGACCTCGTATATTGACTCAAAATAAAATTGGGGTTCAGCTTCATCAGTATTGGTAATAAATTCTGGAATTTCAGGGTTCATTGTTGTATCTTGTCGCCTTAGCAGAGGTTTCAGAAATTCGGAATATTCCTGAAATAATCAAAATGCATACTTGGTCATGGAAATTGGCCGGTGATGAAATCCATAGAAAACTTGTATCGGAAGGAAAATATTTGAAGGTTGTATGCTGCGCAATTTTTTGCTCAACTACATCATCATCAGTGCTATTGTCAGAATTTGTCGGAGATGAAAAACATTGGCAAATTGTACCGTTTTTGTGGGATAAATATCTACAAGACCAAAGGCATATCATACTTTTGATTATTTACACAATGGAAGCGGTCATTTTAGGACTATTCATTTCATCACTGGTCTGTTACAGCTTGTATTCTATTGGACATTTGGAACTTCAGTATAAACTGTTGAATGCTATTGTGTGTAGGTTACACACTAGATCGATTTATCATATGAATGATATCAGATACCAGGAACGAGTGGCTGATCTACTTATGTGCTGCGTCAAAATGCATACAGAGATCAAAAAGTAAGTTTGTGGAATATTCAAATTCAATTCAGAATATTGAAGTGGATGTTGAGAATCCAAGTAATGAAAATATTGAAAGTTTGTTGCTCATAGTGTACTGTCAAATCGATGAAAGAGCCTGAAGCAATAAAAGAAGTAGGGGAGAGTGGGTACAATTGTAACAATATTAGGATTTGATTTTGTCCTAAAACAACTACTGTGCACGTGCAAATATAAATGGCACAGTTGCATGAGTTGAACATCTAGCTTTCATTTTCTGTATAATATCTATGTATGTTGTGAATTTTGAAACCAGAAAAATGCATATTGTGCGCACCTAAAAAATGTATTGTACCCACCAAGGGGACAGTTGTAACACAGAAAAGGGGCAATTGTAACATTATCTGAAATATCGTCATTACACATGACGACGCTAATGTTTTCATCAAAAATAGTTTTCAGAAATATTTCAAATTATTTATTGTTATTCGCAAACAATTGAAATCTTCAATCACTGTCGTATTCACAATCATCATAATTAACACAAAAGAAAAAATTAGGACGCAGCTTACGTGCACTATTTTTATGAGCCCACTTTTCACATTTGTGACACTGGATCCACGTGGATGACGATGACTCTTCTTACATTTTGAAGCAATAAGGACACATCATCTTCATCATCTGTGCTATCGCAAATTTTTATTTTGTCATTTTCCGTTCCTTTCGATTTTCGTTTGATTTTTTTGTTTTTATTTTCTTCAAATTTTTTTTTCACTACTTTTTCTTCTGTAATTTTTTTCACATTACAGGAAATTATTCGAAATCGATAAAAAAGGACAACACATAACCTTAAATTACTTACAGACTACAATTCGTAAACAGATGACCTACCTGTGTTAACTTAATTACTTTAAGACAATTGCTAACACGTCAGTTGTACAAAAAGTTTGTAAATACAGTAGAATCCGGATATAACGACCTTCAAGGGACCGGATATACTATGTCGTACTAACCGGACGACGCACAAAACGGATTAATTTTGTGGTAGTAAATTGTACATTAGTTCATTAGTTTTTCATTTAGCTGTTCGGATTGCTGGTCGATCGGTGAATAAAACAATTTATAGGAATCACATATGCTTTATTTTGATAGTTCTTAAATATCCTTATGTACAAACATATGTACTGTAATACAAAGAGATAAAATACACACGCATTGCACGAAAAAACTGTGTTACTAACGTAGAAAGTCTGTTATTTGAGTTTGTTTTTGACAAACTTTTGTTCGGTAGTAAGAATTTCGTACAGCATTATGAATTCGTGTCATCACTGTTTCCATAACATTATCATCCAAGTTAGTCTGAACAAACATATTGAGCATTTCTGCAGCCTTCGGAACTTCAGACACACTCAAGATTGGATAAATCTCCGCTGGTGCGGCATCATCACCGTCATTATCTTTGCTATTCGGATCGTTAGCGTTTTTACGAAAATGTGATTTCAAAGTTCGAATAATCCCTTGGTCCATGGGTTGCAACGCTGATGTCGTGTTTGGAGGCAAAAACATCAGCGTTATGCTTTTCAAGTCTGTAATATGAGGATGTGCTCTTGTAGCAGAGGTCCATCAAGGGGTATTCTCCGGTCGCGCTGAACTTGAACCACTATAACAATGCCTTATCCAACTGCTCATGAGTAGAATTCCTTACACGTTTGCATTGAACGTTGGAATTGAACAGCGACTCAATTTTATCTTTATTCTTTTCGACAGTGAATATTGTAGAATGGGATACGCCACACTCCTTTGCGAGAGCTGCATTTGATTCACCGGCTTCTAATCGGTATAATATTGCACTTTTTTCTTCAATTGCAAAACGCGTTCGCTTTACAGAATTCATTTTGTCGAACTTTATGGACTTACAACAAGTGACAAAGACTTCATACTGGAACCTCTGGCGTAAAATCAATCTATTAATATCTGTTAGTAGTACCTATCAATAGAGGTTCCTAAGAATACTACCTGTTAGTAGTACCTATCAATAGACGTACCTAAGAAGAGGGAGTGCGCCGAGGTATTGGTGCGCTTATTTTGTGTAAACAAAACATTGCGCGACGTTTTAACCGGATGTAGTATCATGAAAAACAGTCGCTATAAGCGGTTGGTCGCTTAAAAGGAGTCGCACTAAACGGTATATTTTCCCAATAACTAAATATGAAACTAAATTTGAGTAAACATTATCGTCGCTGTAAACGGATAGTCGTTATAAGCGGAGTCGTTATATATGAATTCAACTGTATGTAAATTTTACTTAGGGATAGAAAAAATGCACAAATTTCACTCACACCTTATCACGTCGATGAATGCTTCTCAACTGGCGGTAAGTTTATTTGGGCTACACGATTATTTGAATACTTTGTTGCCAAATCTATAGTTCAAAGATTGAACGACGGTATGGGGGTGTTACGATTGTACCGTGTCACAATTGTACCCACTCTCCCCTAGATATACTCCCAACTCATGACATATTCATTGACATTTCATTGAGTTGTTTTTATTTAATTGTTTTTTGTTTTTACCGTAGATTGAAAACGATGGTGATGAGCAGAGCTACCGCTTTGGTTCTATCATTCACGGCCTACGGCTTGACTATATTCGTTTTTTCTGCTTATTTCATAATGACGGTGAGATTTCAATTTCATACTTAGTTCTACGAATCATCCACAAATACTTTTTATAAATCTACTGCTCAATAATCAGTCACTAACATTGTTACTGCTATTCAAGGATATATTAATGACTACCTGCGAGACAGAGTAGAGTAGAATTTGGAACGTCTGGGGCGAGAAATGAGTCTTTTGAAAACACTCTTTCTTCACCATAAAAGCGACATAAAAATGATGTCGCTCGAAGCGTGTTTCGCTAATCAAGTTAGCATCATCCGGAGGTGAAATTTAAGGCTTTGGCACACAGAACGCGGTCTGTCGCGGCGATAATTCTATATTACACGAAAATATATTATAATAGTCACACTGATGGCGGTCAATCGCGGCGGTCTGGTTTAGATCGCGACGACGAGCGATACACTTGTACAAATTTACAGATTTTCGCGCGAAATGGCGGATAATACTGAATTGTTTATAGAAACTGTTAGAAGTTATGTGTTCCTGTATGACCACATGCATATTATAAGAATATGTTAAAAAAAAAGTGAAGCATGGAACGAAGTAGCAAAAACGCTAGGGATGACGGGTAAGTACATGTGTGTATTTTTATTATAGATTCAACATAAGGTTATGGTTCATTATGTACTGAAGTAATCTGCAAATTTTTCTCGTATTTCAAAGGCGGCAGTATTTGATCTTCTGTTTGTCGGTCTTGTGTTTGATAATGCTTGTATTGGTTCATCTTGTTCTTCCGTTATACATATCTCTGTATATCTCTGGTCCTATTTTTTGTAATAATATAATTGTGCAAGCAGCATGCTGCTTTAACAATCCAGTCAGCAGTTTGAGCATCAGTTTCTATGGCTCTTAGGAAAACTCGCCACTTCATGGCCAATATGCCGAATGCATTTTCGACTACACGACGCGCTCGGCTGAGCTGTGAATTAAATTTCTTCTTTCTTGCGTTACTAATAACTCCAGTTTTTGGGTACGGTCTCATCAAATAAGTTTGCAGTGCAAATCCTTCGTCTCCTACAAATACATGCGGTACTGGGTCCTCTCTTCCTGGAAGTGGTTTCGGGGGTAAAATAGTTTTATTTTCAATATACTGTTGGTAGTTTTCAAAGTTTTCAAAGATACCGCTATCACTGTGACGCCCATAATTGCCAATATCCACTACCATAAATTTGTAATATGGGTCAACGATAGCAAGGAGAACTATGGAGAAATAATTTTTGAAACAAAAATAGGCTGAGCCACTACGACGAGGACATTTCAACTTAATATGCTTTCCGTCTATGCTTCCAAGGCAGTTTGGGAAGCCCCAAAGTTCCAAAAAATCTTCAACAGATTGTACCCGCATCTGTCTGGTGCGCATGGCAAATAAATTGGCTGTACGGTTTTCCAAATTTCTTGGCAGGCATTTCTCACAATTTTGGAAACAGTTGATCGTCCCACTCGATAAGAAAAAGCGATAGTCTGATGGCTGTCACCTGTCGCCAAATATCTGAAAAGAAAAAGAAAAATGTTCAGTTAGCTTTGCTGTGCGGCGATGTGATTAAAAAAAAATTCAAAACTGATTTTTGAACCCTTCAGAGGTCTCTAATTACGTTATCTAATTAATTTATTTTTGTTTCAGCTGAAACAGCAAAACAAAAGTGGAAAAATTTACGTGATTCCTACATGAGATACAAGAAGCTCACAAAGGGTGAAACAGGTCAGGCCAAGAAGTACCATAAGGGGCCTTGGAGTACCCACATGAATTTTTTTGATTATACTCTTAAACCACGTTCGCATAGTAGCAATATACCACCAGAAGATTTGACAAAAACTGAAGAAACCAGGTTATCTGAAACAGAAAATTTGTTGATGTCTGACGATACCCAAAAAACAAATGCATCTAGCGAACATTCTTCAGCGACTTTACGATTACCAGCTCGACAAAAAGAGAAAAAAAGGAAGTCGTATAGTCACTCATCAACTGAAAACTGCCCAGATGATGTCGACAAAGTGATTGATTTTTTATCAAATGGAAGAAGCAAACAGGGCCCTGATGGGATTGATCATTTGTTTTTAAGTTATGCTGCGATCTTCAAAAAATTCAATCCATTGATTCAGGCAACAATGAAAATAAAGCTTGTCACATTATTTGCAGAAAATGAAATTAAGGAGCTAGAAGCACACCCAACATCAGCCCCAAAGGCATCCACATCCCATTCACGATCTTTTTCAGCCTATTCCCCACATTATCCGCAGTATTCGGATGAAACGGAACCACATTCACGACCCTCTTCAGCCCATTCCTCACTCTATACGCAGCATTCGGTCCCAACGGAACTTTATTCCCGTACTTCTTCAGTGAATCCTTCACATTATACGCAGCATTCGCATTCGGAGACATCGCGACGTTCAGCAAAGGATGTTTATGAAGAAGCAAGTGACATAATTCAGGGGGATTCCGAAGATAATAATAATAATTTTAATTTATCATAGTGGATGAATCGAGGGATGAATACACTTACCCTAATGTTATTTTTTGGTTTAAATTTAAATTTTGAGTTTTACTTTTTTGTTCCATTCCAAGTTTAAACACTCTATAAACTATAATTGTAATATTCATAACAACTGTGTGATATACAAACTGTAGTTTGTATATCACACATAAAGTGTATGTTTTTTAGTAGTTACCTTAAACAAATGGCTAATCTTTCTCTTGTATGAATTGGTTTCCTCCAGTTCGTGGTGCACTTAGCAATATTTATCTCTAAAAGGTCATGTAATTCCTCAAAACACAACCTCGACATGCGGAAATATTGAAAAAATCTATATAAAGACGATGTCAATATAAAGACGATGGTATTCACCAAATTGTTCTCTTTTTTTATTGATGGGATGCACCCAGCAACGTCTCTTCTTTTTCTTTTTTTTTAGAGCAAAGAGAAGGAGAATAAGTTCTTCGTCAGAGCTGGACATTGCGAACACATGCACGACCGAACACCGACCGAAATAATTTCGCAACCTGTGTGGCATTATAGATCGCTTTGCCGCTGCGAAGATCACGCGATAGCAGCCCGCCGCGACAGACCGCGTTCTGTGTGCCAAAGCCTTTAGTATTTCCTACCGCTATATTGATGTCATTAGGGTCTTTCACGACGAGCGTTCGTTAGGAATATATGGAGAACGATTCAAAATGAAAACTTGAAATTTTGTGGTAGTGGGTTTTCAAGATATTAATTTTTTCCTGAAAAATATGATAGTTACAGCACCACTCCGAAAAAATCATAACTCATAGACGGTAACAGTTAAATGTGAAATTTCACAGAATCACACCTTAAGCATCAAGTCATGAACAGGTCCATCGAATTTTTGAAAATAATTAACATCGAGAAAACTGATGAAACACGATTTTTTCAAATGGAAACCATACAGTATTCTATTATTTTTGGATACTACGAAAGAAAAGATACCAAATAAATGAAAAATGTCCTATACCTAAGATATATCTGATTTTGGGAAATATTTGAAATGTAAATCATTCGAAGCGATAACAAACCAAGAAAGCTTTGAAAACAAATGAAGTTACAACAAATATGTCAAAATTTGATGCGATATAATTGACGTGTATTTCGTGACGTGTATGAACCTTTTCATGACTTGATGCTTAAGGTGTGATTCTGTGTAATTTTACATTTTCAACTGTTACTGTCTATGAGTTATGATTTTTTCGGAGTGGTTCTGTAACTGTCAAATTTTTCAGAAAAAAATCAATATTTCGAAAACTAACAAATTTGGGTATAGATATCGCTATAGAAAGTGGGCGTGAAATGTGCTGTGAAATTAAAAAATGTAATAAAATACAGGGTGTTCCATATGGAATAATCAAGTTGCCCTCAACTTCCGGTATAACGGAAAGAGACCGGAAGTTGGAAATATTTTAGTTGAGAAGGCCATTTTGTGAAACTCACTATCACAAAATTTCAAGTTTTTTATTTGAATCGTTCTCCATATATTCCTAACGAACGCTCGTCGTGAAAGACCCTGTATGCATAACGAAGGTCAGTGCCAAGCAACACCATAGAAGTCCAGTGTTGTGCAACGTGCCATAGAGAACTGCTTCAAATTGTCGAGGCAGGCACATGACAATGAGTTTTTAGATGCATTCGAAAGGTAAAAAATCGAAAAATGTTGAATAGGATCTGACAACAGCGATGAAGGTCCCATTCCTCACAGACCAATGATCGCACTTTTACGTAATTACATGTAGCAAATAACGATAGGGACAATTCGTTTGAATATATTGATCATATGAAGATCTAGTCTATCGAGGTAGTTTCTTCGAATCTCCGAATTTGGTATATTTTCCTTATCAAATTTGATAATAATACGATTCATAAACAAACTTTGTTGGTAAAGCCAGAAGTAGACAAGTAACACGAAAGAAAATAATTTTGGAAACGTATATGGTGAACATTAAAACATACTATGTAAATTTGTGATGCACTGTTTGGAACGTTAGGTGTAGTAATGAATATGGTGTTGGGAAAAAACCAAACCGTTATTTCAACACCTCGACATGTGTTTCGATTACCAAGTGATCATCTTCAAAAGGAAGATCAAACTAAATATACTCACAATGTCATCCTTATTAAAAGCTTTTATTTTACTTGACTTGTATGTATGTTAACAAATCTTGCAAGTTTAATTTGACCCATTTCCCGGTATCTGATTGACCTGAAATTTTGCACGCTGGTCCAGAACCGATGACAATGCATGTTAATCATAAACATGACCAGATGCTGCTGCCAGGATCGGCTCCGTACGAAAGATATCCTCAGCGGTAAATAGCAGGGACACGAAATTTTGTATACGCATTCGTTTATGATAGGCAGTTGGTAACCCCACCATAAAATAGATGCCACATGCAGGGTTGGCTTCAATAAAAAAAAAATATTTCTAGAAAAAATTAAATCAAGCTTCTACCTTTAAATACCTACTTCCCGATCCTGAAAAGAAGAAAATAAATTGTGTACCTAGTAGGTTGTAAGAACCTATATTTATTTGCATTGTAGAAAAATATTATTATCTACCACCCTCTAAGTTCCCAGAGTAAGAGGGGCCATCACGCAATGTGAGCAACATGCCCAAGAGGCATACCATGACTTGTGTAACTTGGTAATTTGGTCATTAGTATTGGTTCCTTAAGTTTTTCTGTTGAAGGACTCTCCGTTTTATAGATGGACTTTCGTATTGATCGATAACTATCGCTTGAAACTAAAAAATATAAAATAAAATAAAATAGAGCACTTAATTAAAAGCTTGTATTGAAGCTTTTAATTAAGTGGTATAAAAATTAAAATAAAATTTTAAATCACATTAACCACATTCATTTATGACTTCACAGAATTGAAATTATAATAAAAGCTTGTCGCGATGCCTAGAAGAAATCTCCACTGAACTTTAGTTCGTTAACAAAGACAACCATCCTGCAAAAATTGCCAAACTTTGATGACGGTTAAACACCTTCTCTTAGAATGCCACCAGTATGAAGCCGATCGACAATGATATAACTTATCGGATAATATCAGAACTTGCCTCGATACCAAAGCTATAAGAAATGTTTTGAACTTTCTGAAAGCAACAGACCTTTTTAACAAAATATAAACAGATATCGTATACTACAAAATGGCTAATGACCTCAGCAGTCGATGCCAGAATAATAATTAAAACGGGGGATATTGAATCCGTTGTGGAAAACGAGAAGTGCCGAATTTATTGGAACTATTCGTTTCCCACCCTCAGGCTCATACAAGCTAATAAGCCTGATGTAGTCCTTCTCGACCACCAGACCAAAACGATTTTTGTCGTGGAGTTTTCAGCTCCTGGCGAGACGAATATCGTCGCACAGATGCAGAAGACTGTCATTCTTGGCTCACTGAATGATCCAAAGTATCGAATGCTTTATTATAAACAAGCATCGAGAGACATTTGGAATTTCCTTTATCAAGTGATTTGAATATGTCGTCAGTGACGAGACTCAGAGCCATAGTAGTGCTATATGTATAGAGGGCGAAATCCAGACTGAATATTACATAAGGACACATTGTAAATAAGGATAACATTGTAAGTATATTCAGCTTGCTCTTCCTCTTCAAGATGATCATTTGGTGATCGAAACACGTGTCGATGTATTAAAATAACGGTTTGGTGTTGTACTATGTCAATATATACGTATATTCACCACTGAAGCATGCAACCAAAATTTATTTTGTGGAAATTATTTTTTGTAGGATGTGAGTCCCAGAAGTAACTTCCGAATGTACTCCTTGATAGTGACGTCTTGTTTTATACTCTGGGCCTTTTGTGAATATTGTCAACGAGTGACAAACGAGGTGAGTTTTGATTGGAGTTTTTTTGAATGAAAAACATATAGATTTGAGAAGTTAAACCTTCTGGAAGCCAAATATTTTTAGTTGATGAACAATTATAGAAAAAAAATTATCGGTATAGAAATACATATAAATATACATACCAAAAGAGGTAAACTTATCATAGAAAATTTCCCTTCTGAAACCAAAAGAACAAACTCAGGGTTCAGGTCCAAGTTAACCTCAAGAGTCATTTCAGGAGTATTCAAACTCAAATTCTTTTTTTATTTCAAAATATGACTATATTCTTTCAAGGGTTCCTTATAGATTTTTCTCTGATTGGCTCTGGTTCAAAATTCAGGCTACCACTAAATACTTTGTATAACATCAATTCTCCTGAAGCTTCAATAATGTCACCTACGAAATGTGCTTCGATGAAGATCTCAAAACTATCCTGAGAATAATGATCGAGAGGAGAACAATAGGTACTAATTAATGCACTTAAACAGATTGGAAGTCATTGATTTAAAAACAAATCTGAAAAACTTGTACTCAATGAGGTAGCTTGCTTATTCGGATTCAATGAATGATTATAACAAATGGACGTTGTTCATCGATGATACATATACAAAAACAAAAATTGTGTCGAGAGGAGTAATCGATGAAAAAAGAAGTTTACCATACACAAAATGTGTTGAGAGATAATACCATGTATATCCATATAAATCAAACCTTTGGAAAAAGTAATTAATTTTCTGGAATTATATGAAAAAAGTACATGTAAGGTAAGATGACAAGAGTTTTGGTATAATAAATTCATTTAGCTTCAGCTTGCTTCAATTGCTCAGTGATTCGAAAATGGCGTATTTTTTCATATGCTTTACTTTTTCTAGAGACATGGGTTCACGAGTAGGTGAAGCTTTTAGATTTTTCCAATTCTCTGCCAACCAGACTCCTCAAATTTGGCAAAAATACGGTCAAGCTCACGGTCAAGTCAGAGGTTATGATTGATCTCCTTGACAGTGTCTTGCTAGTTCCCAGAGAAAAAAGAGTATTACTGCTGGATGACATCAGCATAGTGATGTATGTTGTACCCGTCGATTGAATAATGGAAATGAGAAATATAAAATAGAATGAAAGGGTACCAAGAATGGAATTTTGCGGTACCCCAAAATACACGGATAAGGCCAGTTACTCTTTGAAGGATCTAGATACTTTTGCGATTGATATAATAATAATAATTATAAATTGTCTTCATTTATACTGGCGGAGTTTAGCTTACGCTACTCTTCCACTCAACCAGTATTTTGTACATTTACAAATTGATAAATATATATAGTTACAACAAAAAAAAATTAACGAAAATTATTGATAGATGAATTGTCTTACAGATTGTTGTGATCACATTTTATCGAATATGATCTTCCTAATTTTCTTTTTGAACGATATACATGGTTGTGGTATTATATATTTATGATATATATTGAAAGTGGTAGCAGCCTGTTATGTGAATGATTTTTCATAAAAAACAGTGAAATGTTTGGGTATGGTGAGGGTGGTAACTGTCCTAAGGTATCTGTTATGAACTTGATGACGTGAAGTGAGCTTTTTCATTAAATCTTCCGGTATTTTATTGAAAAATTATTTGTCATTAATATGAGGTGTCACATTCTCCCTATATTTGATATTACAGATGAACCGTGTACACGCGTTTTGGACTCTCTATATTCTAGAGCGGGCTAGATAATCAAGACATGGGCCATAAACAATATCACAATAGTTAAATATCGATAATATAAGTGAATCACATGATGTGATTTTGATTTTTTTATTAAGGTAATGCCTATTGGAATATAATTTTCTCAGTATTGAATAAGAGTGTCCTATAAGATTACTTACATGTTTTATGAATTTGAAATTGTGCTCAATTATCAAACCTAAAATTTTTATCAAATCACTATATATCACCAACTGATCATCAACTTGTAAAGATATATTGTCTATGGCCCTCTGACGATTTTTATCACTTCCAAATAGTATGACTATTGATTTGGTAGGATTGATAGTGAGTGAATGATCCTTGAATATTTCAATTATTATTTTTATATCTTCATTTGAATAACTTTGTTGGTTCATAATATCCTCGATTCTATCACTAAAAAATAAGTTTGTGTCATCTGCATATGTTTGTATTTGAAATTTTTTCAAGACCTTTGAGAAATCTGAAGTGTATATAGTGAAAAGAAGGGGAGCTAATACTGATCCCTGGGGTGGGCCATGAGCAACCCCAAGTTCAGACGACACATTGAGTTCTATCATTTAGGAAGGATTCAATGAATGAGCACGACATATTATCAAAGCCAAAGTATTTCATTTTGGTGCACATTAAATGATGATTCATTGTATCAAAGTCCTTGCTGTAATCGATGGATAGTAAAAGTTGTGTTTTACGTTCATCTAGATTATTTATAATTTCATCAGTTATTCCCAAGAGTGCAGTAGTAATACTATGACCTGGCCTAAATCCATGTTGATGTGGTGGTAGTATTTTATTTTCATTCACATAATTATACATTTGTTCATGAACTGCTTTTTCAAGAATTTTTGAAATTGATGGTAATATGTTGATAGGTCTGATATCTGAAAATGTTTTTGGCTTAGAAATTTTATTAATCGGAAAAATTAGTGATTTTTTCCATGAGAAGGGGTAAATACCATTTGTTAAACATTTATTTACCATGAAAGTGATTATCGGAATCAAGTAAGGTGTACATAGTTTGATCATTTTTATGGAGATTCCATCAGAACCAGTGACATTTGATTTGATATTGTTTATTATTGAGAAAGTTTGCTAAATGGTATAAATTTGAAGCATATGTTTTCGTTAAAACTATTTGTCTTATAGTGATCTGATATTTTTTTAGAGGGCTTATTCACGATGTTTTCAACTAATTTTATGAAATGCTCATTAATTTTATCTGGTAGTTTTAGATGTTCTGGTATAGAACTATACTTTTTGTTACTGACAATATCAAAAAGATGAAGAGTATTCCACAACTGTTTGGAATCAAGTTGGTTATGAATAAAGTTAAGATACCTTTTCTTTTGTCTCCTTATTGCTGTTGTTACCATATTTCTCAAGTTCTTGAAATTATCCCAATCATTCCTATATTTTGTTCTTTTAAATTTTGCCATCGCATTATTTTCATTCCGAATCATCATTCGTAAAGGGTCTGAAAGCCATGGTGCTTCTGGTTTACTAATTTTTACTGTTTTTGTTGGTACATGCACTTCAAATATGGAAATCATATATGTATGTATTGGAAGTAGAGACGATTTCATTTATATCATTCAATAAATAAAGGTCATACCAGGGCATTTTAAGTAAGTCTACAAAAAACTCATCATGATTGAAGTTATTATAATCGCGATATGTTCTATAAAAGCATTTTTTTTTATGCTCCTCACATGTCAACTTCGTATATACCAAACATTACTCGATGATATTATGTCACTACTGATATTACTTATTCTTGTTGGTTCGTTATTTAACACTTTTAGGTTATAAGCTTCAAAAAAATTTTAGAGATCAGTAGTGTTTTTATTCGTAGTGTTAAGTAAATTTATATTCACGTCTCCAACTAACATAATATGATCAACAAGAGGTATTACTGCAGGAAGTATATTTTCTAAAACATTAATACAGTCAGAAACCCTATTATTAGGTGGTCGATATAAACAACCTATTCCTATTCGAATATTATTTACTTTCACTTCCATCCACATATGTTCTAATTCAGTTTCGTTAAATTCTAATTCAATTCTTGTCAGTTCAATATTTGTTTTACAGTATACGGCCACACCACCTCCCCTTCCAACACGATCTTGCCGTGTAATATTGTATCCATCAATATTAATTAGATAATCTAATTATATTGTCTGTCAAACATGTTTCGGTTACTATAATTATATCGAAATCATACTTATTGACTAATTGTTTAAAAAGATCAAATCCGGTAAACAGTGATCTCACATTCAAAGTGGCAATAGTGAAAAACATAATGAAATTTCCAGTTGAAAAATGGTTTGAGTTAATATAATATAAAAATAATCCCAAGTCGGCAAAATCCCAAACAGCTGAAAAGTAAAAACATTGTTCCTTTTTTATTGTATACACAAAAAAACATTCCACTTGGATTTACGAGTTCTCAAATAATTAGAATGAAACGAATGACGGAATATTTCAGAAAGTAAACAAAACATAAAACAATTTTTGGATGAAACTGGAAATATCAAATATGAAAACAATTACGATCTAGGTGTTTCATGATTTTTTTGTGATGTTTTTTCATTCCCTGAGTAGGTATCTAGTAGATTCTTGATTTCTTCACCTGTTGGTTTATTTATTTTATTATTTACCTCGATCCTAATATTTCCATCCACTGTTCACACGCATTTTGCTCCAAATTTTTTTACCGCAGCATTAACCGCCTGTAGACGATATGGGGTTAGATCTTCTCTTATTATTGTTTTCGTATCTTTCAGATGCTTTTTCATATCATTTATACATTTCTTAATTTCATATGTAGAGAACTTTACAAAGATTGATTGATTTGGCAGTCTATAGCAATTTTCAATATCATTCGGGATAAAGTTCTTCAGTTTTAGTTTGTCACCAATAAAAGTGATCACTAAATTTTTTGTGTCTTCTTGTTCCATTTGTTCTAACCCATAAATTCTAATGTTATTTCTCCTTACATATTGTTCAAGGTTTCCCAATCTGATGTCAACTTTGTTGATTTTCTCGGTATTTGCTCCGATGTCCTTCTGAAACTCGCATAGACTTGTCTGAAGTTCATCAAATTTTGCGTCAATCTTGGCACTGACACATTGGATTATTTGTTTGGTTTGGTTATCTATAGATGTATTATCTGAGATCGAGTTAGATCTAGTTTCCCTCGTAAACGGTATATTTTTATTTGACGGCATACCGCTATCATGATGGAACTGTTAAACTAAAACGTGACCCAAATTTTTTTAAATGTGTCTTTATATATTAATTTAAGACTAGTAGATAAGGCAATATTGTGAAATTTATTTAAGACACTTAAGACGCAGGTGCCTAGAAAAAGTGTCTATGATATAAATAAGGATAACATTGTACGTATTATCAGTTTGATCTTCCTATTGAAGATGATCACTTGGTGATCTTCACCAAGTGTCGAGGTGTTAGGATAAAACTCCAGTAATATTTATTGATTAGTTTCAATGGATTTTTATGAAGTATCGGTCAGTTTTATTTAATTATTGAAGAAAGGCAATATTGACAATTTGGTCTTGTGGTATTTCAAGTTACTTTCAAAGTGTTCCATTCCAAACGAAAACATTTGGTTTTTCAACCAATGTTTGAGAGAAGAAGTATTCCCGAGATTTAACTAATTGAAGACCAATAACATAAGCCATGCTGCATCTGAAGGAAGTAGACATGAAAAAATTAAAAGGATAGATAGAAAGAAAAACACAGTACAGCAAAAGGGACGTTGCTAACATGTACCTCAAAGTGATAAAAACACAGTATATTTGTGAATCCTACTATAATGAATTTCAAATCCAGGACTTGGATATTGCGGTTTTTGTAAAACCCTTTATGGTGAAAATCATACAATAAACTGTATTTGTGATGCACTGCTTAGAACCTTTGGTGTAGTAATGAATATTACTGAAGTGTTTTTCCCAACACCAAATCGTTATTTTAACACGTCGACACGTGTTTCGATTACCAAGTGATCATCTTCAAAAGGAACTGATAACGGTTTGGTGTTGGGATAAAACTCCTGTAATATTGTTTACTACACCAATGTAATGTATTAATTAGTTAAAATCTTTCCAGTTTCCATACACCAGAATTAATCTTGTACTATAGGTTTTGAATATCAAAATTTTTTGTATTCATTCGACTTTGCATCTGGGAACTTATTGGGCAAATATACACACACATATACAGTAGGAATATTAGCCTGATTTCAAATTGGCTTTTTGCTGGGGTAGAAAAAGGTTCACTTTGAGAGTATATCAATTCAGAAACTCTAGTTTAGACTTCGTTTCTTCACTTCAAATATGTGAATTCATTACTCTTGAATTTCAGTCGGAGAAGGTTTTTCACAACGCCTGTAGATGTCCTTGGGAGCAATTCAACAATACCAACAGGCGAATACTTTTGATGCTACTTTCAAACTCTATCAGCCCCGTTACGATTTCTTGCCATGGCGTCCTGGATGCGAATTATCCACTGGCAGTTAAGGTGAATAAATATAATGTTCAAGTTTCCTAGAGAATTATTTTTTTCTACTATGGCAGAAGTGCAGATAGTTCTGTTATTTTGCAAGGCCGAAAAAATATTTTCTTATCTTTTCAAAGAGATAATATCGCAATTCATCGAATGTGGATTATAGAGCTCCACTTGGTAATATTATGGTAGTTTGAATTGCTAAAATATTTTCAATGTTTACCAACTAAAAGTTATGATATATTTTCTTTTTTGCATGTTACTTCTGGGGGAGAGAATAATGGAATTTTTTCATAACTCTCGATTATGCATGTTCTGAACATCAAAAATGCATAACCTGCAAAACCATATTATTTGATGATTTTCACATATGTGAGTTATCAAATTTTTTTTTCCAGTTTTTTCGAATGGCTTATGCTGCCCACACGCTGTTCACCAATATGAGTCAAAATCGTTCCTGAAATACTTATATTTCATGTAGTTTTTAATTGTTAGAAATTTGAGACACATTTTGAAACTTACACTATTCTCACTAAATATTTTTTTTGCAATAAAGTGCTTTGTACTCTTGTTGTCAAATCATTTCTGATCCTTTTGGGAAAATATATCATAATAGGTTTCTATTAAGTTACATCGGTAACATGTAAGTTGAATGTTTGGATAAGATGTTTGGATAAAGGATTAAAAAAGTAATTTTAGTTGAAGAAGACTCTATGGAGATTAAAGACTTCCATATTAATGGTGGAAATAAATTCATTATTGATTTAAATGACGACAGTGATAGTGAAACAGAATATGGAAGAGGAATTATCAGAAGTTTTCGAAGAAAACAATATAATCAGAAATTATTATTGAATAACGAAATTAGTCAGTTCCCTAACTATATTATAAAAAGGGAGCTGTTGGAAGGTAGGTTACACTATATCGTATACTTGTACTATACTAGGAAAAATTTTTGTTTCTATTTCCATTCAGAACTCACGAATGATAACTTGATTGCTGTTATGTGTGACTTCGTCTCTATTGGTTGAATTGAATGCTCTTTTTTTTCGCGTGTAATTCAGTGCAGGTAGCCAGACTCAATTAATGTTAATTCTATCTCTTTTTTTTCGATTGAAATTTTTGGTATTTTTCAATTCCTATCCTTTCATAATTTCAAGCAATAGCTCTGAATTCTATTTTGGGTCTCTTCAAGCGCGATAACGAGTGTTCCTTCTCTGAGTGCATATTCTGCCACTGATGATTTTTCGATATGCTTCAGGCGAACATTCATCTCGTGTTCAGAGAAATGGCTACTCATACTCCATTTCGTAGTTCGAATAACTATCAATGCGCTATCCCTGGTGTAGCAAAATGATTCCTGGGATCCACAGCTGATCTTTCTTTTTTCTTCATGGACAAAACACGAGCACTACAGAAAAATCCTCGAAGCACTTCCAGAACAGTGCCTGTGCGAAAGTAGCGATTCACATTGGATATGAATCGCTGGAAATTGAATCCATTTGGAAAAACTTTCTCAGGAAGTCCATTCCACATCAACACAGTTCTCCAGATGAAAGAGTTCTTAAACAGTGAAGTTCGAGGTGTACTGAGTTGAGCCTCAAAACGATGAGCAGCCACAGTCCATCGTGTATTTCTGATATGTACCGCTCTTGGTGGAATCAAATGTATCAAGTCACTTGAACACCTCCCGTGAATGTATCTATAGAAGAGAGACAAATCCCCAACTTCTCTTCGATCTTCCAGGCTATCAAGGTTGCACGTGATGTTTGTGTCTCCAATCAGGCGGATAGCTTTTTTCTGGGTGGAATTCAGTAACTTCAGGATATGTTTGGGGGCAGAGCTCCATGCATGAGAACAATACGTCAAAGAAGGTCTGATCTGAGCTTTATAAAGCATCAAAAGTTGCTGAGGTGTGTACAGTTTTCTAGTTCAGAACAGTGTTTAAAATTTTTGAGAAACAGCCTTTGGAATTCCAGCGACATGATTGGGCCAAGACATATTGGTGTTCATTTTAACTCCCAACAAACTTATCGAAGCAGGAAGCAAAATTGTCTGACCTGACATTATTATATCCGGTTCGGAGACATTTATCTTCTTGGAGAAAATCGATGCCTTCTAGATCACTTCTAGATCCTCATTAAGATATGCAACCTCCTGCTGTCGATGAAGATGTGCATCAGCAGCCGATGTCCTGGAATCCAACTGGAATGACAAGTGTGCTGTCGTCAGCAAAGCAATATATTTGATGGTTTTTATCAGTTTAAATTACTATTTCACGTTATGTTGTTCCAGAATTCTTTCAATCCGGTCTTTACTATCCTTCACATAGGTCCGGAACGCCTTTTCAATGACAGGCCCATTGAAGTTTCTTTGACATACCCTTTTCTGGGTCATTCCATCCGCTCTAATTCGGCTGAAAACTTCCCTATTTTTCAGGAAGATTCGCAGGTTCATATTCGCACCAGGCCCTCTCAACTGCAGTTTTGATTACAGTTTTATTGTCTTGACTGGTGACTGGGATCTTTACTCAGATATTTATCTATGTGTGTTGGTTTTCTGGCCCAACCAACGAACCCAAGAAGGCGATTGTTTCTGGTATCCAGGTTCCATTGTGATTTTGATTTTTGGGTTGATTTAGAAAGGAGGGCGATCTGTTACGTTGCTGATATATCACGCACGTATGAAGGTTTGGAAAATTTCAGGAATTGAGTTAAGTATGGAGTGATTACCTTTTCGTATTGAAGGAGAAACAATATCGATACTATAATCATCATAGAGGTAGGTAGGTAGCTCTAAAGTGAGTGTGTATATGGTGAGTGGTGTTTCGGGTCAGATGGTGTAGTACTCCGTGGTGCAGATCCGTACTCTGCAGATGTGCAGAGTACGGATCTGCCGAACTCAAAGAACCTGATTCGGTCCCCAGCGGGGCAGGCACACAGTATATGCTCTGCTGATTAATAATTTTCCAGACGGAGGCGACGTCTTTCTACAGCCCACGTCTCTACATATGATGAATGAAATGACAGTGACCTGCAAGAAGGCCTGTTAGACATTGTAGTTCATCCCTACTGTAGTCCAAAAACTTTTTGGAATCAAGCTTCGAAGGTTGAATAAACGCCTTGGAGTGAGCCATTCCTGGAAGATTCTGCCAGAAGTCCATAAATCTTCTTTCCATACAGGTGTTCAGTGTTTGTTTGGCAAAGCCCAAAGCGATGCCAATGACAGGTTGTTGTCCAATGAAGCCGCTTGCAGTACCCTTCTTTGCAAGAGAGTCAGCAGCTTCATTGCCTTCCAGGCCAGTATGGCCAGGAATCCAGACCAGAGACAATCTGTTAAGTCTTTCTATCGAGGAGAGTCGTTTTCAGCAGTTTGCTACCAATTTAGACGTTGCTCAGTAGGATCCAAGAGCTTCCAACACCGCATGACTGTCCGAGAATATTTTTATTGACTTGTGAGTGAGGTTGGATTTACCCAAAATCTCTGCACACAATTCATCAGCGTGAATTTCCACTTGAAATACAGTCGCATAAGTTCCTAGGCAGGTAGATAACTTTGTCTTGGGTCTGCGACTGAAAACTCCTGCACCAGAACCGGCAGGTGTTTTTGATCCATCTGTGAACCAACAACTATCTGCTCTTAATTTTTCCTTCTCCCGGAGGATCCAGTCCTCTTTACTCGGGAATAGCACTTTATAAGGCAGTTCGTAGTTGACAGTTGGAAGCATTAAGTCAGAGGTCATTTCCAGAATGCTGTCACTTCCAATGTCAACCAACAGTCTGTTGTACTCTGCATTGAATTGATTTGTGCAATTGACAATGTGCACAAGTCTGTATGCAGTCCATCTAGCCTCTCTTTCCAGAAAAATGTGAATAGAAGGTAGATCTACTGACGGTGTGGTACTGATGGCACAACTGATAGCTAGACAAGCCTGTCTCTGTAAGCCAGAGAGCTTCGCTTGAGCCTGTCGATTTGCCGGTTTGATAAGCATACTGGTGGTTATTCAGGGGGGATGCATATAATGCTACACTCCTGATATGTCCGTCCAGTATCCTCTCAAGTCCTTTCAGCAGGAAGGATGTAAGGCTGATTGGTCATACCAATTTGGGGTGTGGGTCTCACCGGCCCACTTTAGGTATATATACCACCCTTGCTGTCAACCAACTGGGTGGTATATAGTTCCATTCCAGACTAGCTCTATACAATTTTGTGAGTTTAGGTAAAATTATTTCCAGTCCGTTTTGAAGAAAAGCTGGAAATATACCATTCTCTCCGGGAGATTTGAAGGGCTGAAAAGACTTGATAGCCCATTCAACTGCCGTGCTGTAATAACTTCTTTTGCGACGTCCCAGTCGTTTTTTTTGGGCGTTTAGCGCCCTTGAAGATGGGCGATCTGTTGTTATCAAGAGTCAGATTTCCAGGAAAGTGGATTTCTATCAAAAGCTCTAACGTTTCTTCACTAGAGGTCGTAAATGTTCCATCGGGTCGTTTAAGCGACCCAATTTCAGCAGTCGGCTTTCTAGAGAGAATCTTGTGAATTCTTGTGCTGCGAGGTAAATCAGAGATACTCTCACAGAACTCCCTTCAAGACTCCCGTTTTGCCTTTATAATTTCCTTGTTGTATGTCGTTAGAGAGTGGTTTTATAAAGCTCCCAGTTACCTGACTCTAGCTCGATTGAATAGTCGTCGAACTTCTTTTCTTTTACTTTCCAGGCTTTTGTTCCACGAAGAAGAGTTGCGGTTATCTCTTTTGGCCCTCAGTGGACAGTTCTCATGATAGGATGAGATCACTGCTTCGTGAAATTACGTCGTTACTGTATCCATATCATTATAACTGTGAATAGTACTGAATCCGTCCTCAAAGTACGAGAAACAATGTCGATACTATAATCATCATATAAGTCTGTTTGGATTGTTGGCTTACATTTCTTGCGACATTATGCTATCTAAATTATTTTTATAAAACCAGTACTCTGGGTAAGGGCTTTTAGTAATGAGTGGTAAAAACATTGCACACCCTAGAGATGATGGAGATGTTCTTCGACAACTCTTTCACATATAATCATACAAATAGTAAAGTATTTGCTCACACCTTAGCAATTATAGCAATTGGTACAAAACTGTTATAAGTGAAGAGTTCATGATTCAAAAACCACAAAAAGTTTCACTGATTACCAATAATGTTCAAGGACAGTCACATACTCCATCAATGCAGTGACATTGAGGATCACATGATTTGCAGAACCATCTACATTCCGAATCGAAGTCGCATTGACCAAATTCAACTTTTCCTCCTCGAAAAATTGATATTCCAGTAGACTTAGTGAGAATGAGTGTCCAACTGTGGTGGTTCCGTTTTGAACTGATAGTATTTCCATTATTATTCCAGGAATAAAACCTTTTGTTATCCTGATTATGATTTTTCCACGGAACTATTTCGACGTCATGAGTGAATTCATTCAAACTTCGTGTTGTCAACTCAGAGATGAGATGGTAATCTATTATTTCCAGTAATGAATTTAACCCTCTTCTCATTCTGTTTGATCTAAATCCTTCGTATGGCCAGGAGAAATGTGAACGATTGACCCTACTTATCACTGAACCTGAAAGTACAAAAAAGTGTTAGTAGATATACAGAATAATAGATATTCTGTCAATTTCCCAAAAATACCATTTTCATGAAAATAAAATGATGATGATAATGAGAGGTGGTAATAATAGTAAAAAGAGGTGATAGCAGTGAAGAACTCTCTCCACGTCAAGTATCAGCACAAACTTCGACAGATCTGGTCATCGGAACTGTTGGGGAAGAGCAATGTTGCCACTACGAACATGCTCACCGTTCCTATTTTACTCTACTCTTTTGGAGCAGTGATTTGGACTAGGGAGGAGCTGTATCAACTCGACGTGAAGATCCGAAAAGTGATGTATCACCATAGATGCAAAGATGCATGTTCCGCACGACTATGAGGGAGCAGGAATCGGATCATTCCTTTTTAAGAGAGCTGCCCGTGAAGCTGATAAGCCCCGTTTGATTTTCGACACTGAAGAAGGTTATTACAACTCTGCCACCGAGTTGAAACCCGTTCAGCAAAAAGCCCACAGGAAAGCCGATAATATCCTTTTACTTTACTGTTACTATTCAAAATCACGTGCTTTTTGATTAAACTTTTCAGGAAATCATCTTCAAATACAGGTGTAGTCTGATTTAGAAAAATTAGGCATCATTTTTGGCGACAATATTAGACTTATTGGCGACTGGAAAGTCAGGACAGATGATTGTTGCAGTGGGTGGGAAATGGTTGCCTAGCAACGACGAGTTAAAGCCAAAGACTGCCTTTAGGTTTAGAAATCGCACGTTCAAAGAAAAAATGAACACACGAGCTATCTCACTTCATCCTCTTCCCCTTGTTGACATTCCTTGAACATTCCATGAACAATAGATATTAATTAGTAAACAAAAACTGGTGAATATTTGATCAGGATTGAATTCGGGTGATTCCTCAACTGAGTGTGTATATTTCTTTTAACATAAATAATAATTGATTATGTTAGATAAGATACGAAATCACGATTCTGATAAGTGGGAATCGGCCTGTTCAAAATGTACTCTATCGCATAGTTTCTGTTTTCAAACAAAGTTCTATTTGTCTCTTCAACTATGATATAAATATAACGTACAGGGGACGACTTCTTCCCTTTCGAAAACGATATCTATGGAAGTGACAAAAAACCAATCCTCGAATTACAAAGATCACCAAGGCTCCCCAATATGGTCACTTGCAAATAAAAGCTTTGACATTTGTCCTCTACCTACCTCTTCAGCTTTAACTGAACGGCAATTGTACGAAGACGGAACATTGGGATCGACAAAAGATTAAATCCACGAAATTTGAACATAAACGAGGCTCCCCCCAAAAACAGTGGTTATTGAAATGATAAATATCAAACTTCACGTGACTGTTAAAAAAATAAGATGAATGTTCGAATTTCGCGATTTTTTATGTTTGTACACCCATCCCGAACATATGTTTATAGTTTCAGCTGTTCAGTATGTTTAGTTTTTTAGTGAGAGGTAAAGTTAGAGGTGATCTGCATGTTCGGCAATTTCTGCTATCGTAAAATATTATTCAAAGGATTTGCATCAAACTTTTTGTAAAAAATGGAACAAAGTGCTCAAACACACTCGAAATATTGGCAGTGGCATACGGCGATTGTATGAGGTTGGAAAAACGTGAATGACGAGTTTCGCATCACGATAATGCACCTGCTCACTCGTCATTCTTTGTTCGTGACTTTTCGGCTGAAAACAATACTGTAATCATTTTTCAGCTACCGTATTCACCAGATCTGCCCCCCTGCGACTCATGGAGAGATCCATGAAAGGGATGAAATAAAACCAATGAATAAATACATATTTTCTGAGAATGAAAATTCACCCTATTTTAGAACAAGCAGCGTACATTTCGAGCTGGATAGTTACAATGACGAATTACGAATTAATTTTTTGCTTCTTCTTGATACGTAGTGACTTCTTAGTAATAATTTACCTTCAGTTTTGTAAAAAAAGTCTCCCACTAAACAAGACACTAAACATATTGTAGATAACTTCATATTGTTTCTGTATAACACTTACATATCTTGAGAGCAAGTAAACCATTTATCGGGGCTTCCTCAATACTATCAGTGTAGGGAGTTTTTTTAATCCGATTCGCCTGGGAAATACATAAATAAACATTGTAGACGTTTAGGTCAAGGTGGATCACTTATATAAGTATTTATCTGAATGTTGCGTTTCATTTGATAACATTTGCACAATGCTATCTAAAGGAAAATAAATGCTTCGGGTTAGTTTCTTCATGACCCAAAACTATTTTCTTTAAGGCTGCCCATAACTTTGAAAAATGGTAGTGCTTGATGATTTTTAATTAGTTATTGTTTCGTCGGTCGGTCGGTGACCGGTCGGTTCGACGTGGGTTCTTTGTTCACTCACTCAAATCGACCGCCTTGTTGGTCGGTGGTTCAAGCCCCAGACTGAACGACCGATTTTCACTTGCTATCTTCCAACCCTTGTTAGAAATCACACGTTAAAAGGTAAGACCTCGTTAGTTCTCAGCTCGCACAAGTTTCGATCTCCGAGGGTTGTTGTTCGTAGAGGTGCGACAGCCAGTTAACGGAAAAACAGATTTTGAACAGATTTAAACAGATTTACATTACTGTTTTTTGCAAATACGACTGTACTATAGGAAGTATTGGAGCGTTTTCAAAAGAAAACTGAAAATATTGAATTGCGTTATTGCAATTTGTCGAAGGATTCAAAAATGAATTGCACTTCCACATTGCCACTTTTCCCTGCTACATAATTTTACCTTTTCAATGAATACGTTATAATTTTTTTTTTCGAAAAATTGGAGATATTGAAAGAAATAATTCTCATCGTAACAGGCTATGACTTCGATGTTTCTAAATTCGATTTTCAATTTGTTATACTCAATGACATTTTGTTATTGTACAAGTCATTGAGTTTTTGGCAAAAAATGGTTTTCACGAATGAAGAAAGAGATATGATACAAATTTATTACAAATACGATAGAAACAGTATCGGATATGTATTTAAACGTATATCCCGAAAGACGACAACCACATCGAACTATGTTCAAGTTATTGGATTAAAATCTCACCGAGTTTGGTTCATTCGAAGAGCCGAGAAAAAAATACGGACACAGAATGGACCAGGAAACTAAAGAAAATTTGATAAATAAGGTAAGTTAGACATTGCGTCTTTTTCAATAAAAATTTATAATTTGCAGATAAACATGAACCCGGGGAAATCTACACGTCAAATTTTCTTCGAAATGAATATATGTCATACAAGTGCTTGGAGACATCTCAAAAAAGCAGTTTAAAATGTTATAAAATACACATATACAAAAAATTGCATCCAGGTGATTCCAAAAGGCGATTAGAATTTTGTAAATGGCTAATAAGAAGAACTGATTTTCCTGTTTTCCTGGAAAATGTAATTTGGTCAGATGAAAGCATTTTTACGAATTTTGGGTTATTATTCAATCGAAATAACGATCACATTTGGAGCATTAACAACCTCAGGCAGTTCCGAGAAATTCGACCTTAAGTGCGGTTTAGTATTAAGTAACCTGTGGGCAGGAATTCACAAAGATGAAATTTTGGGTCTTCATTTATTTGACGGAATTCTGAAAGGAGAAACCTATCACCAGTTTTTAATGTCGATTTTCGAAGGCAATTGGGATGATCTACCTTTGGCTAACTATAACAACATCCAGTTTCAACATGATGGTGCTCCACAGCACACTACCAGACAAGTATCTAATTACCTGACTGAAATGTTTGGTGATGAATAGATAGGGAATGATGGGCCGGTGAGGTGGACAGCAAGGTCTCCAGACTTAAGTGTTATGGATGCATTCTCATGGAATACACTGAAAAATAGAGTTTATGATCAGAGATACTATGAAATTATTGGGGACCTTCAACACAGCATTGTTAGAGAGTTAGGAAGATTGAGGAGGAGAGAAATTATTCTTGCAGTGAATAATATTCGAAAAAAGGCACAGTTGTGTTTCCATGAACTAGGCCAGCATAGTTTCCGATATCCCAATCGTGAGAATTGAATTTGAAACACCCTGTATTCTCATCATGCGACTGCGGTAGACGAATGTGTTGAAGAAACCATATTGGTAGACTATGATGAACCCCTCAGTTTTCGACTTCAGCTCACTCTACCTTGGGTCATGGTCTTTGATAAGTCAAGGTCTTCAATGTTGTTGAAGAGACCCCATACATCCGCTTATACTAATATTGCCACAGGAGTGAAGTATTCTCTGCCAGTCCAATGTGGGATTTGAGATTGAATATTTTGCATGATCGCGGATCATGCAGAGAAGTGGATCCGAACTCCTGATAATTTCACAGTCTCCATCCAGAGTAGAGTAAAATTGAAACGACAAGTGTATTATTAGCAGCAACTTTCCCAACTAGCAATTTTATATTTTATAATGGTTCTGAAAATGTTTCAGAGAAACAAATTATAAAACTGTATTTCTCCCAGAAATGTATTCAATGTGTTTATAAAACAGCTATAAGTAGGAAGTAGGTAATTGGTACCGTTTTATAAAACATTATAGTCTTCAATAATATTTTGTAACGCCTTTTGCAAACACTACAAAACAGTTTTATAAACATTTCGGCAGTTACTATAAAATTTTTCTAACACTCTTAAAAAGTAGTTTCGTAAAGAATCTTATAAAATAATTGAAATACAATTCTATAAAAGTTTTTTTAGAGTAATTCCAAGTAAGCGTTATAAAATATAATACAGGCGCAAGAAGTAATTTCGTTTTGGACACGGGGCCATTTTAATAATTTCACTTTTGTACGTATAAAACCGGTAAAGACATTGTTTGTGCTTCAAAGATTGATATTTTAACTGTGAATGAAATTTTATTGACAAATATATAGCCTATTAGAAAAATTTAAGCGCGGCACCCTTTTATCAAAAGTTTTGGAAGAAATATTAACTATACAAAAGTTCACTCTGTCGACGTATTCATTTTCTAGTTGCAAATTAATTCAGTTTGTTCTAAATTATAAAATCTTATAATATCTATGTACTTTTCATCTGCAAATATTACTATATGCGCAGTATTTCATATTTTCAACTCATCTAATGTCAGTATTACGAATTGCTATCATTTCAAAATGGCTTCGTTCTATAAAATAATTTGGTATCAGTAGCAAGAGTTTTAATGTATTTTAGCTTATACGTTACCTCTATAAAACTGTTAAGAAACACTTAGTTCTAGGAGTGATGGTATTGCGGCAGAGTCAGACTACTTTTGAAATTATAGATTTCTATAAAAATGAAGACTCGATTTCCCACGTATTGTTTGGATAAATATTATCTGTCGCGATGTTTTGGCTAAGAAGCTAAGAAGCAACAGCGTGAGACCTTCCATCAATTTCACAATGGAGAAGGAAATCCACAACGAATTGCCATTCTTGGACGTTTTGGTGAAGAGGACCGACACTAAGTGGGAAACATCTGTATACGAAAACCCACTCATACGGGACAATATCTGAACCACGAATCCAACCACCATCAATCGACTAAAAGAGGAATCATCAAGACTCTATTAGACCGTGCTTTTGGGCTCTGTAATACGAAAGAAGGTCTCGAGAAGGAACTAGACATCATCAAAAATGATCTTCAACGGAATGGCTACTCCAAAGCGATGGTAGAAAAGACTTTGGCTAGAAGACAGCAGGAGCCTCGCAATTATCGAAAAGTGAAGTTGCGTAAGTTAGCTGACATTGTAAATATGTCAAAAGAACGTGTTGGCTTCATATTGCATGAGCATTTGACTATGAGAAAGCTCTTTTCAAAGTGAATGCCGCGCGAGCTCACTGTTGACCAAAAACAAAAACGTCTTGATGATTTCGAGCACTGTTTGGCATTTCTAAACATAACAAACCGGAATTTTTGCGTCGATATGTGACAATAGATGGATCATAGATCCACCACTTCACTACGGAATCAAAACAATTGTGATCTGAGTGGAGAGAAACTGGTGAACCTCCAAAGCTCACGAAAGCACAACAGTCGGCCTCGACATTTTGGGATGTGCGTGGTGTAATATTCATCGACTTTCTTGAGAATGGAAATACCATCAACAATAAATATTATATAGCGTTATTGGAGCGTTTGAAAGTCGAAATTGCGGAAAAACGACCCTATTCAAAGAAAAAGAAAGTGCTGCTTCATCAAGACAATGCACAGTGTCACAAATCAATGAAAAAGATGGCAAAATTGCATGAAATGGGATTTGAATTGCTTCCGCATATGCTATTTTCGACAAATTTATATTCCTAAGCTCTCGAATGAAGCGGTTATTGCATAAATACTTTCACGGTGAAGGAGACCTCGACTATCTGGGGCCTGGAATGCCTGTTGTGATCCAGATTCAGGGAACTGCACATGCTGCACATTTGAAGAACAGGGAGTATTAAAACTGGAGAGAATCATTCATCAGAATACTGAAGGATTCCATTACAGTAAAAAAAACTAGAGGAAACATAAGACAGATTGTTCGATACAAAAAAGATTTAGATGATGATATAGAGGATGACAATGGAGGTGAATAGACGAAGATATAATACTGCAGGATATAAAAGAAAAAGAAGAAGAACCAACTGCAACTATTAACGACCTCGATAAACATGAAATGTCACATGAATTCAATAAAAATAAGGAGAAAGAGCTGAAAATGATATCCAAGAACAATACCGTGGACAGGCCAATGGACAGAAATGGATACTCACACAATCATATTGGAGTAAAACAGTTATCAATACTAACTTATGTATTATTTATCAATATATTGTGAATAAAGAAAAAAAATTAAGGCCAATTTTGAGCCAAAAGATAAATAAATCGATGGATGTAGCCGTTTCTACATGGTAGGAAATCATAATGAAGAAAAGAGAATTGAAACTTTCTAGGTTTTTCCACTTTTATTTGTGACTAACCTAACTGCAGTTTCGTCCTATACGGACATTTTCAAACTCATACAATAAGTATAAGTGGTGAAAAACATATAAAG